TATCGCTGACCTAATCCGACCTAATTCTCAACCATCTGTTTCCTGTCCACAGTCGATGAATTTTGGAGTGCTGGAAAAATTTAATTTCGACTAAATTTTTCAGAAAAAGGTAATGTTTTAGTAAACCAAACAGATTTATTTGAATATGCTAGATTGTCGCAACTTTGAGTGATAAAAAAGTTTTTAACTCCACTGAGTCTGTTTTGAAAAGTGTTTTGATTGATCTAAAATTTCACAAAAACAATGTTTACAAAGGTGGCCGACAATTATTCCCTGACTCGCTGAATCAAATTTTATCGGTATGTTGCAATTATAAGTGTTGAATTCACAATTGAATAACCAAATTGAAACGTCTACAGTGCAAAATAAACTGCAATCAATTTTGACAATATGTCGACTATTATCACAGTTTCATGAATTGATGATATTTTGAGCAAAACAAAGTCCTTGTTCTTTTTCATGGGTCATTTTTGGCAATCGTTGTATATATTTTTGTTTTGAAGCTTTGGTTTGGCTTTTGAAACTCTCTGCATAGAAACAAGTTTAGCATCGAGTCTAGCTGTTTTTCTTACAATAAAATATGTTAGGTGAAATTATTATTTTTGAAATTTTACAAAAATTGATTACCTACCACTTACGAAAAAATGAAAACCCGTAAATGTGTTTCGGCTCTTTTCCAGTTCCCCCCTTTTTTAACGTTCTCATAGTGCAATGAAATTTTGTTGTAAACAAATCGACATCTGTGAACAGACTATTTTTCATACTTTACAGTGTAACATCACGCATTTAGCCATAATAACTCGTGAAACAAACATAGAACTCGTTATTTTGAAAAAGGGGAAACTGGAAAAGAGCCCTGACATCAATCGAAAACAGTTTTCTACCTAAACAAAACTCATTATTGCGGAGAAAAATTCTCTCAGCTTTATGTTTAAAAATGGATTTGTTGTGATGGTTGTCAAAGCCCGTCTGTCTATACGATCGTTTGTCATTGTTTTTTGGCCGTAAGCCATTCCTTGCAAAGAATACAGAGATCTCTCCGCATTTGCGTAGTTTCTCACTTTGATAGCAATTTCCGCTCCTGTCCCTTCGTAGTTTCTACCAAATCCACCCCTCTCCAGCATTTTCGAGTCATCTTATTTATACTGACCCTTGCAAATTGATATATTAGTCTTTACCAAACTGAAAAAATAGGCCTTGGAAAATGTTTGGGGAAAAAAGTCGCTGAAAAAATTCTTTCTAACATAATTGTTTGAAAATTCATTTAATTAGAAAAAATGAATAATTTTTTTAATGGTTTGTCAAGAAAACCAAAACCAATATCATAAAAAATTGAAATGAATCTTGGTGATTGATTTATCAACCATTTTAATTTTTTATACTCCAATTTATATATTTTTTGCATCTATAATATTTTCTGTCAAAAGAACAATGAATATGCGATAAAAGTTGAAAAAGAAACTCTTCAAATAGGAAAACAATTCAAACAAGAGAAAAAATAACCTATTTACTCAAAAACTTAATCACCAATACGCCGATTTATAAGTCTCTGTATATTCTATCAGTATAAAAGCAGCTTTAATTGTACAAACTTAACACTGCAGCCATGTTTTGCACATCATCAAAAACTTGAAGTTAAAATCATATTTTTTTACAAACCGCAGGGTCCCTTAGTTGAAGCCCAAGTTTGGGGAAAAAGAAAGATCTGTATGCCCCTTGGTTGTGCTATTTCTTTCATTTTCTTATAAAAATTGACTTCTAAAAGTTAAGTTATAAAAGCTATACTTGGCAACTGAACGTAACCTCAATGGGATTCAAACAAAACTTGATATCTTATAAGAAAAACAAAATTTGCAAAAAAAAACTGTTTCTGCTTGTTTTTCTGAAAATTGTTTTGATTTTGAGAACAATCGCCTGGTATAAGTAATTTCTATTTTTTTGCTTTTTTTTCCACATCAGCTCAATTTGTTTTTAGAATTTCGAGAACTGAAAAAAAAACAATCATTGTTTTGTGGGGATTGCGTACTGCAAAATTGGAGCGCAAAATAATTCGATTTTCATGTTTTTTGTTAGCACCCAGTTCTATCCAAACTTAAGATCTAAAACAATTTCCAAAAACAATTTAACTTTATGAAAGTCTAAGAAACTATTTTGGAGGTAGGACAAAAAAGCTAAGGACCGAAACAACTCGAAATTAACCGAGTTAAATTTTCTCCTGAAGTAGATTTTCCCTGTATAATTCAATTGAATGTCATCCAAAAATACTGAGGCAAGGCAACATTGAGTTAAAACAATTATTCTGCCTACCCATCTTTGAATCTATCAAAATCACAGAGCAAAAAAAAAATTTTGAAAGAAGAAATTTTTTATGGTTTTTTATAAAAAAAAAGTATGCTTGCAAATTTCTTCGTTGGCGAAGTTTTTTCAATTAGCTTAGCTCACTGATGTTTTTCAACTTTTTGTACCAAAAACCTTATCCAGTATATTTGAATCAACGAAAAAAATTCTCATCGGTTGTAACGGACTTAGAAAAATTAGAAAAAAGAAAATTTTTTAAATATTGGATCAAAAACTGATTTTACTGGTTTTTTTTTGTCCAAAAATATTCCAGTTTTTATCATAATTTTTAACATAATCAACACATTTTTTGCACTCTGTTTTCAAACCTGATCTGAATTATTTTTTCGCTCAACTTTTTTGGTCTGATTTTACGTATTAAGATCAAGTCGCTTTTTCCTATTCATGATCTTTTACCGAATCTTTGAAAATACGGAAATTCAAATGCAATGAAGAAAAAATGGATGTTTTTTGCTGGACAAAATTAAGTCAAAATCAAGTCAAAGCTATCCGCAAACTGGAAAACATTTAAGTCAGTAAAATAAAGTTCGGACTGAAGAATGATAAAAACGCAATCAAGACAATATCTTACTAGAAACGCCGTTTCGAAAAGCCAAAGCAGATCAACTCAGCAACAATCATTTGCTGACTCGTATTTGAGTTTGAAAACAATTGTCTTGTCAACAGGAAGCACATATGTTTCAATCAAAAATTAATTTCCTTTTACTTTTCTTTTAAAGTCAATTTTGCAAAAAATGAACGAAATGCATTGATAAATTCATGCAGTAATCTTTGGAGGGCTTTTAGGAACCCAACCTAATTATTAGAATCCAACTTCGTTGAGTTTCAAAAAACCTGATCGGTTAAAATAATTATAAAAACTGAAAAAAAAAGTTTTTTTTATGTGACATCATGACTAATGTTGTTCGATCTGATCTGAAAACTAAAATCAAAACCTTAGAAGCTTTTTGGTCAATAGTATGAGAATCGAATTTCTTTTGGAGAAATTTTCAATTTCATGGTTGGTTCCGCAGCAAAATCATCTAAATTTTAGAGTGATTGCTGTATACGATTTTGTACCCATTTTGTACGTGTCACTTTTCATTATTGTATATACGCTTGCATAGAGAAATGTTTGTTGGAAATGCTTTCTCCAAGAACACCTAAAGAATTCTACAAGTTAGACCAGTTCTTACATCTCAAACTTATTTTTATGCCCAGTTTTTTTTTATTTTGCCCGAAGTTTTTTTGTATTCTAGTTTGTATTCCTGTCGCTTTGAACAAATGATTCAAATATGGATAAATTTTTGATTTCATTGAAAAATGGAAACTCAATTTTGTTGAAAGCTGTATTCAACATCGATGCGAGAAACGCTCTTAAGAAGCGAAGTGGTTTGAGCGTAAAGCAAAAACAATCTAAGAGGCAAGTAGCAGCGAATCTTATTTACATTTGACAGCAATCGTTTTGAAATCAGAAAGCAGAAATTTTTTATGTGAAAACTGTTTCATACATTTCTTCCTTTGAAGTGATTTTTTTTTAAATTTGGTTTGGAAGTAGTGCGTAAATAGATTGAAACTGTAATCTTGTAACTGAGCGCTTGATTTCTTGTATAATCAAACTCGCAGAAATTTACTTTAAAATTCTAGTTTTTTGAGAGTGTCAATAAATTAGGTGAAGTCAATACAGCAATCATGTCTTTTCGTTGTTCTATTGGGAAAAATTGAAAGTCAGCTCTTGCCTAACTTATGGCGTAGATACTTAGATTTGATTTTTCTAGTTTCATTGAATTCATTAGGCGAAAGCTCTGCATCTGCTAAAAAGTACTTGGCGCCAAAAAACGAATTGTTTTTAGTTTCCAATTCAGTTTTTTTTTCAGAATTCACATTTTAAACTGTTGAATGCATTAAAAAATCAATTCTTAATTATTCTTGAACATTAACCAGCTGTATTGTTAACTGGTGTATTTTTCCTTTTCCGAAACTTAAAAATTAGATATATTTTTTTCGCTGCATTTTTACTCAGCATATTTTGCTAAAGTTTACTTCACTTCCTTCATTGTAGCAAAAAAAAGGTTGTCGTAATGAAAACAAAAGTTTTTTTGAACGATTTGTTCGTCGAATTGTTTTTAGAAAAAATTAAATTTTCCCTCTTTCTAACTAGTCACTTGGTTTTAGTTTGTTAAATGATTGAGTTGCTTCAAAATTGACCATAGAATAATTTTAGCCTTTTTTTTGAAAAAAAAACAACCCAAAATTTGATTAACAGCGATTTGGGTCAATTTTTTATTGCAAATCTAGCTTGTCTTATTTTTAGTTTTTTTTTCTGCCAAATCTGTTTAGTATATTTCAGTTTTAGTTATTTAATTCAGTTTTCATATAATTTTATATGATGGGTGAATATACTTTTAGAGCTATGTGTGTTTTGAAGTTGGGGCATACGGTTTGAAGTTGGGGCATACGGTGTACTTTTGTGTCGCTCCACTGTTCTTTATGATTTTTAGGACTCTATTTTTTATTCGACAAAATAAACTTGAAACACTACTAATTTGTTACAAAATTGGCCGTTGTTGCTACGGGATTTTGGCCCTCAAAAATCCGACTAAAGCTCGTGCGAATTGTACGAATGTAACGATGCAATTCATTGTAAATTGTAAGTATAGTAATCAAACCAAAAGTCTTTTTTTGTCTTTTTAGTTGGTCTCTCAGGTCTTTTTAGATTAAATTTTATCTGTGTATGTAGCAAGCAGTAGATCGAAAAGTTAAAGTAATAGTCGTTGATAGATTCTTGTCTGACAGTGTCATACAGTTCTCAACCTCTCGTGAAGGAATGGTTGTTCACTTCTTTCATAGAGCACCGTCGATCTCTATTAATCTCCAAAGCCTTGTTCAGCAGATCTCGTAGGTTTGCAGACACATTCTGTAGGTTTTCCGGGCGCCAGGACTGTTTCTGACAAGGATTTGAACCAGGACTTGCTTTCCATCCCATTGCACATTCGCAGATAACCACACCGAAAGCCCATACATCGACTTTGCTGTTATAACTTGAAACATTATGACCAAAGTACTCTGGAGCCATGTAGGCCGGTGTTCCAATGACATCTTCGTCGTCAAAATTTTTGCCTAGCAGAGCGATACCGAAGTCGGCTACTTTGAATTGGGATCCCTTCGTTAGAATGTTGGGGCCTTTGATGTCTCGGTGAATCACACCCTTATCATGCAAAAAGCAAAGACCACCTGAAACTTGTCTGATCATACCAGCTAACTGCGCTTCATTCATTTTGCCCATCGATGGTCGCAGATACTTGTCTAGATCCCCGTCACAGAGCTCCATCACCAAGTACAACTTGTTGCCAACCTAAAATTTATAACTTTCAACCCCAATAGACGCTCAACCGTTTTGTTATACGCCAGTTAAAAGCTGCTTAAAAAACTTCTAGTTTAGCGAGAAAACTAAAATACTCACTCTTTTTTTGTTTTGAAAATGTTTTGGCCAGTTGATGCTTAAATTTTTGTTTTTTGTTGAAAACTTTTTCTAAAGCAAAGTAATGTCAATAACCTACCGAAGTGTTTAAAATCGTAAGTCGCACTATTAAACTGATTTTGGAAAAATGTTTTAAACAAAAAATTATACGAGCAGAAAACTTGAAAACGTTTTGAAATTGACAGTCAAACTTTGAAAATTTAGTCTAGAGGTTTGTTATCTGAGTTGTCAATTTTAAAGGCTTCTAATTGAACTATATGATGCTATATATATATATATATATATATATATATATATATATATATATATATATATATATATATATATTGTAAAAATTAAATTGTTTCTCACCTTGTCGTAGTCGAAGAAAGTTACAATGTTTGGATGTTTCAATGCTTTGAGGAACTTCAACTCCTCAACAGCCAGTCTGTCTAATCGATCGTTTGTCATTGCTTTTTGGCCGTAAACCATTCCTTGCAAGGAATACAGAGATCTCTCCGCGTTTGCGTAGTTTCCCATTTTGATCGCAATATCCGCTCCAATTCCTCTGTAGACTGTACCAAATCCACCCCTCCCCAGCATTTTGGAGTCATCGTATTTATACTGACCATTGCAAATTGATATAATAGTCATTGCCAAACTGAAAAGCTAATCCTGTGAAAACTTTTGGTGAAATGAATTTGGTCAACAACTCAAACATGAAAAAGAATAACCTATTTACTCAAAAACGAAATCAACAATACGCTGATTTACAAATCTCTACATAATCTGTTAGTGTAAAAGCAGTTTTTATTGTACAAAACTAACACTGCAGCCATGTGTTTTTAATCATCAAAATCTTCAAATGAAAATCATTTATTGTTTTTTTTGAAGCTTTGTTGAAGCCCAAATTTGGCGAAAAATAAAGATCTATATAATCTTTGATTTTGCTATTTCTTTCAAACCTTCCTAGAAATTGATTTTTAAATATTAAATTATAATTGTTATTCTTGGCCTTAGAACTTAAACTAATTGGACTCAAGAGGAAACTTAAAATCTTAAATGAAAAACAAAAATTTGCAAAAAAAAATTATTTCTGCTTCTTTCTAAAAAAATGTTAATTTTGAGAATAATCGCCGGATAAAAGTAATTTTCAATGATATGATTTTTTCTCACATCAGCTCTATTTGTTCTCAGACCTTCGAGAAATGAAAAAAAACAATCACTGTCCTTTTAAAATTGGAGCGCAAAACTCCGTTCGGTTCTCGTTTTTATGTTAGCACCCAAATTCGTCCAATCTTCAACTTTGTGAGCGGGTAAATATTAAATCTAAAAAAATTTTAAAAACTATTGAACTTTTTTAATGTATGAGAAACTATTTTGGAGGTTGGAAAAAAAAAACTAAGACCCGAAACAATTCGAAATTAACCGAGTTAAATTTACTCATGAGGTGGTTTTTTCTGTAACTATCAATTGAACGTCATCCAAAAACCTAGAGTCAAATTTATATTAGCACCCAAATTCGTCCAATCTTCCAACTTGGTGAGCGGGTAAATATTGATTCGAAAATAATTTCAAAAACCCATTGAACTTTTTTAAAGTATAAGAAACTATTGTGGAGGTAGGACAAAAAACTAAGACCCGAAAAAATCCGAAATTAACCGAGTTAAGTTTACTTTTGAGGTGAATTTTTGTAACTATCAATTGAACGAAATCCAAAAACATTGAGGCAATGCAATAATGAGTTCAAGCAATTTTTCTGCCGACCCACCTTTGAATCTATCAAAATCACAGAGCAAAAAAAAACTTTTTGAAAGAGGAAAAATGTTATGGTTTTCTATAAAAAGTATGATTGCAGATTTCTTCGTTGGGGAAGTTTTTTCAATTAACTTAGCTCACTGATGTTTTTCAGCTTTTGTTATACCAAGTGCCTTATCTAGTAAATTCGAATCAACGAGAAAATATTCTAATCGTTATAACGCAATCGAAAAAAAAATTGGTTTTAATTTTTGGATTAAAAACTGATTATATTGGTTTTTATTCGTCCAAAAATTATCCAATTTGTTTCATAATTTTCTCAAAAAACAGTAAAAAGACGCCCATTTTTTAAAAAAACTTTACAAAAAAATAAATGACCACTGCTTTTTACATAATAACTGCGGTTTTTATGTTTTTTTTAGTTAAATTGTTCTAATTTTTTGATTTTCCCACAGTTCTTTGGTTTTATACATTTTTTGCAGTCTGTTTTTAAATCTGATCTGAGTACTTGGTTTCGGTCATTTTTTGTAGTATGATTTTAAACATTAAGATTGAGTCGTTTCTTACTACTCATAATCTTAACCGAAGCTTTGAAAACACGCAAAGTCAAGTGCAATGAAGCAAAAGTGGATGTTTTTGCTAGGCAAAATTAAGTCAAAATTAAGTCAAACCTATCCGCATATTGGAAATCAGTTTTGGAAAAAAAGTTTTAGGTCAGGGAAGTAAAATTTGGACTGAAAGAATGAAGACAATATAGGGCTACAAACGGAATGAAGAAAATATTGGGCTAAAAACAGTGCTTGCCAACAGTTATCTTTTTCTTCCGACTTTCGTAACAAAAGTGACAAAAATTTTGTGCTCGGGGTGGGTTTTTTTCTTCGGACAAGTTTCGACTTTTTAACAAGTCACTTTTGACAGATTTTTTTTATAACATCCAAAAGGTCTTGTCGCTCTGAGCTTAAATGTGAAAAGATATTTCACCTGTGATTAATTTTTTGTAAAGTTATGGGGGTTTAAAGATAGCAATTTTGGCCAATTTGGGAAATTAACGCGCGATTTAACTCGCGCTATTAACGCGTAAGCTAAGTATTAATCCGTCTTAGAAGTTGTACCAAATTGGTTGAAGGAATCTTATTTGCCATAATTGGTTTGTTACTAGGAGCGAAATCGATCACATTATACTTTATATGGCATGGCGGGATAATATGCACAAATCGTTGCGGGTTACACATAATTTTCTAATTCATCGCAGTTTAACACTTCATTTTATCCCCCCAGCCAGTTAAGCCCCCAGTACCCAGTATACTACCACCCACCAGTTTACTATCCCCCCAGTTTACCTCCTCCCACCATTTACCCCCCCCCCCTCCAGTTTACCCTGCCCCTTTAGCTTGGGGGGGGGGGGGGGGTTGGGGGTAAGAAAGCTTGAGGGGGCGAGGGGATGACCAGTTTATCCCCCCTCCCCCGGTTTATTTACCTCCACCCCGTTCAGTTTATTTACCCCCCCCCCCCCCCCAGATTTATTTAAACCCCCCTCCCCCCCCAGATTTATTTAATCCCCCCCCCGTTTACTTCCCCATCCCCCCAGTTTATACCCCCCAGCTTACACCCCTCCCCCCAATTTACCCTGCTCCTTTAGTTGGGGAGGGGGGGGGTGGGGTAAAAAGCTTGAGGGGGCGAGGGGACGAAGTTGAGACATGGCATTTAGTAAACGACAGGGCATAAATTCTGCAAACTTCTCGCAAAATTTGCAAAGTTTTGCAAAAATAATCGAATTTAGTTCTAAAAAATGAAATGGATTATAATTAATTATAATGGATTATAATGGATTTTCATTTCAAAATAATCAATTAAAATGGATTATCTTGGCAAAAATAATCGATTTCATTGACAAAAATAATGGATTATAATCGATTATAATGGATTATAATGGATTATAATGGATTATATTTGTTCAAAAATAATCGATTATAATGGCTATATAATCGATTTCGTTGTCTGAAATTTACATCCGTAATGGATTATATTCGATTATTTTTGTCTCGGGAATCCATTATAATCGATTAGAATCCATGGGCGCTCGGTGCGGGTTATAATCCGTTATATTGGATTTTATCGGATTGTGTTTTCACGGAATTATTTGATTCATAATGACAATCTAATCAATATATTGATCTGCTTTAGCAACAATAATGAATTATATGTAAGTGTTTTAGACAACGTTTTCCCATTTTAACAATTTTATCCGTAAAACTCCGATGCGGGTAGATTTCCTAGTAGTTTTCGATGTAATAAACAAACTCAAACCGCTGACACAAACTGAAACTCAAACCGATTTGATATTCAAACTCAAACTCAAATACACTAAGCATAATCTATGTCGACAGTATGACAAATAACAATTTCTCTCACACGGTCAGCTTTCGAGCCATAAAGCAAAAATACAAATGTCAATATGGCAACATAGTTGCAAAGACAGAAGAAATGAACCAGAGTTTTCAATGAATTGCAAACGGAAAAGGAAAAATTACTGTTGTCATTATGTCGACATAGTTCTGAGAAGGAAACTAACGCTTAATTTTTAAGAAATTTACACAGAAGAAACGTTTCAACACATAATTAAGTTTTCTGCATAAAAACTGCAGAGCCAAAAACAATATCATCTATGTCATCATTATGTCAGCTATAATCTTAAGCTGCTATATCGCAAATTGGATTTGCTGCTCCTTTGCAACTATATTATTCAACGTCAAATCGAAAACGCAGCGATTATCTATGTTTTTTTGGCTCAATTGGTTCATTTGAACCAAACAGGAAAAAAATTCTAATGACTGTAACAAAATTTAAAAAAAGTTGAATTTTTCCGAAAATTATCCAGGTTTGTTAATTTTTGTTGAAAAACGGTAGGAAATTAGTCGCCCATTTTTCAAAACATTTTCTAAAAAATCAGATTGGTTTTTTTTTCACGAAAATGCAGGTGCAGGTGTTGCTTTTTGTTGACTAGTGTCAATTCTCAATTTTTGTGATTCGAAGGTCCCAAAAAGAACCTTCATAGTTATGTGATACTGGTGAGGGTGTTATGTTTGAAAAAAAACTAGTTTCATTTATCGTTTTTATTTGCAAAATTTGCTCAGCTTATCGATCTGCATAGCTAATATCCACGCAAGTACAGTCGGCTTAAATGTCAATTTGTAAGTTTTATCCAAAGTTTATTTAGAACTAGCAATTTTTTTGGCAGTTTTTACTTGACGAAAATTTCCCGAGCCGAGTTCCGAACAAATGCCAGATTTTGTGTTTGAACCACATTACGAGGCCAAACTGTGCACTGGATAGGCGCACAATTTTGTGTCTGTATGTTCCTGGATTCCATAGACAAGGCTTTAAGCGTGTTGAAAATTTGTCGGAACGATCAAAGAAAATGAAAGAACAAAAGACGAACAAAGAGAGCGTCCTTGTTGCGGAATCCGCTTACAATGCTCAAAACAAACAGTTTGGCTTCGTAATGCAATTTTTCCATTTTACTTGTCATCATTAAATATCGACTGTCTGTTTCTATTGACTGATATATCGCAAATGGTGCGATAATTTGATAACCTTCGAGTAAGAAAAGATCGCATTTGGAAAACTGATTCATCAAAAATTTACATCTGAACAACTTGGAACATGACTTTTAATCATAGGGTGGTCGGGAGTAGCATTAGTTAGAAAACTTAAGGAGAGTTTAGTTAGCGGATTTTTGTTTTGTCATACAGCCCGGGTCGAGATTGTGGTTCTACAATCAGACGGTCGCGACCAAATTCTGGAATTTCCAGACTGCCGCGACCAAAAATGGGCCTTTTCAGACACCCGCGACCAATATTTGCCATATTTGGTATTTCCAGACTTTTCGGACCGAGGCAATGTTTCCG